GGGACCATCTGTGCTGGCTCACCTGCAAGAGATGAGGGAGGGGCACAGGGGGCCTTCTCCAAGGCTGGTACCAAGAAAACACCCAACCCCCTAAATCCATCCACAGCCACATCTCATGGCTCTGTCCTTGCCAGGCATCTGCCCAGGGAGGGAGACAGAACAGATGCCAGGGTCCCAAGCTCTTGAAATGTTGGGCTTCTAACTGGCTCTGAAAAAATAGAAACTCTTGGGTGGAAAATTACCACCGGCTCCATTAGCAGTTAAGCAAATGAGAAGAGGCTGACTCAGAGCCTCAGGTAACATCCCATACTGTCTGGAGGAGTGGGTGGCTGTCAGGACACCAGGCCCGGGGCAGGGAAGGCGGGTACACGTGTACGTGGGTTTAGTCCATTTCATGCATGAGATTGGAGGCCAGAGATACATGTGAAAAGTCTCAATTTTACCAAATCACAAAATGTTCAGACTTGAAGAGTGATCATTTCGTCCAAATTTATTTTACAGATGCGGGCACAAGCCCAGAGGCAAGGGACGTGACCAGGGCCATGAAGGCGGCAGTGACAAAGCCCAGCTCCTAAATGCAGTGCTCTAGATTTGAGTTATTTCATAGGCAGAAGCAGAGTTTGTTATTTAAGGCGGTTCAGGGGAAAGCCCCATATAAAACGATTCCTGAGCTCTTCTTGCCTCTTCCATTTCTCTTTTATATAAATCCAGACTCTCAAATATTAGTTTTGGGCTCCAGGAGCCATATTCATAGTTACCTGTGAAACATTGTCTACACAGTATTTGGCTACGTGGGATAAAACCCACTTCTATTTAATTATGGAAATTTAAAGCCTGGCTGTGATTAAAAGGTAACAAATATGTATATGATATAAAATAAGGAATTACATGCACAGACTTGAAAAGCAAAGCCTTTCTTTATGGCTCATTTATCCTCTTTAAGAGCCTTTGGTTTTTATTCCATGTGACCTGGCTGATTGCCTACTGACTTGAAAATTCAGGCCCTTCCCCTGGCTTAATGCCTGAGCCCCTTCCGGAAGCCAGGGCTGCAGCAGCCACCACGAGGGCCTAAGATGACAGGATTCTGGAAGTTCCCTTGTCCCTGCCCACCACCTGGCGCACAGGTGAACCCCAAGCCACTGCCCTGACTCTTCCAGTGATGGGAGATGTTAGAGAAGGTCTCTAGTTTCCACCTGAGTTTTCTTCTCAAGAATAAAGCTAAATCCCCAAGAGGCCTTGCCCAAGAACGTTCACAGCAGCATTTCCTCTAACGGAAAAAAAAAAAAAAAAGAAAAGAAATATCTAAACATACGTCAACAGGAGAATGGGACTGTGATATATTCATGCAATGGAAAATAATACAGCAGCAAAAAAAATAAAGGAACTAGAGCTAAATAAATGTGCATGGATAAAGCTCAAAATTTTAACGTAGAGCAAAAATAATGTGATGCAATTTAAAATAAAAAACACGAAATATTCTATAGTGCTCACGGTTTACATGTACAGGTAGTAAAAAGATAAAGAAAGGGTTGAGGTGAGAAACCCTAAATTCAGGATGGTGGTCTCCTGAGTGAAAGGCTGAGGGGATTTCAACTGTATTTGTCAAGTTTTATAAAACTTGGCAGGGGTTGATGAGTGTTTATCAAATGATTTTTTCTACATTTTATATGTCTAAAATATTAAGTAAAAGGGAATAAAAAACACCAGGCAGCTGACCCTGTTGGAAATTATTTATTTACCACTGCAAGATTTTTGCTTCAAAGTGTGACACCAGACATGTGACTACAACATCTCATGCGTCTTTTTGTGCTTCGGTTCATGATTGCAAAACAGACACACACTTAGAATTGACAACAGGAACACAGGCAGCAAAAACAAATCACAAGGACTAGGTCTCTCTTTTGGTGGTCCTCACCTCCATTTGGCTTAAGCTGCCCAGGACTCCTTTACATCCCAAAGGAATTGCCCCTGAAGAACTGCTCTCCCAAATTGTTCTCTCTACATAGCTTTGTTTGGGGTGATTTGCCATTGAATCCACACCAAGAGTCACATCTCAGATTGAAATGGACAGATGTGTGCAAGGTCTTGATCGATAGGCACTCAACAAATACATACTGATTTGAGGCAAGGAGTGAGTTGCAGGTTAATGAGATTAGACTCCCAATTCACCTCTGATTCATGCACTTCTTAGAAAATGCTTCCTGGCAAAGGACAAGGTGTTCCTTTCAGAAAAAAAAAAAACAAACATCAGATGCATTCACACAGACTCAATTGCTCTAATTTGGTAGTAAATTGCAAGTGTATCTGGTACAAGGTAAGCTGATGCAAAGATTAGTGAAGTTTTTTCATCTGGCAGTCTGATATCTCTGGGTAATTTAAAATTCACTGAGATGGAGTTTTGGTGGAAAAGCACAGCTTTTATAATCTCGTCTATCGTTAATTACATTTACATAGTGAGCTATAAATTGTCATTAGGTGAACGGTAATACTCAATGTCATGAATTTCTAGGCCAGCTGCTGAGGTGTCTGATGACTTTACCATTGAGAACTCAGCTAGGACTCTGATTTTTATGCCGTTTACATAAAAATGTGTCTTTTCCTGCCTACTCCCCTATCCAGTCTTCATTCATCAATTCATTCAACAAATATTTATTGAGGGTGCATGAGCCAGTTCTATTCGAGGCATTTGGAATATACCAGTGAACACAACAGGCAAAAACCCCTGCAAAATCTGTCTCATTTCTATACAACCTTGTTAAGTGAGGTGATGGCTGACACCTAACATGTTAAGCAGTGACATTTGTCTCCCATCAGAGGCAACTTTTAGTCTGGATTCTGGAAAACTAAACCTTTGAGATCCAAAGAAATGAACGCCTCATGATAGAATGACTGTGGGTGGAGTTGGTATTCTGGGATTAGGGGCCCCATTAACTCACCTCAAACATCCTTTGGTGTGACCGTAAGGCAGGTGAATGGACTTATACGGAAGTAGAACCCGTGTCTCCTGATTTTAAGTCTAGAATCCAGACTTTTTTAGATTGGAGTAGAAGGTATTACCAAGAAGAGAGCACTGGTCAGCTTACATAGGGAGTATTTTGTTCTGTCTCAGCATGCCAACCAAAAACGGGAGACCAGAATGGTGAGGGGGTTCTCAAAAACATGTCGTAGGAAACCACTAACAAATGCCTTGCCTAAAAAAACTTGGCAGACAGTGGTCAGCCTTAATGGGAGAGATTTCCAGTTACGTGAAAGAATTTCCCGTTTGAGAGGGATTAGATATTTTTCTGTTTCTTCAGGGGATAGGTGGAAATTATTTCTAAATGCTTTTCTACTTCTGTCCAGAAAGGGAAAATAATGACAAAAAGTTGATGTGTCTCTACTCAGATTCTCAGGAAGAGACCAAGAATGATTTGACTTGTTAAAGGACTGAAGGGAAGGAACTCATTTTTAGGTCAGGGGCCTGGGTGACATCTGAAGGAGTTTAGATGTCAGTATTAAAGAGTCCAAATGTAGAATCCATGGCTCTGGAAATGCCTGGGATGATTCTGGCACTTTCCGGGCATGGTCAGTTGCCAACAAGAAGCTTAAAGATGATCTGCTGGCGGCCTCGGAGTTTGTTTCTAGCCAGGGACGCCTATAGCTCTCAAGCACAATCTCATCTATCACAGCATTCACAGAGACAGAGCTGCCACGTCGCTAGTCCTATTTTATGGATGGTCAACAACAGAACCCAGGAATCCTGGTTCCCAGGCAAAGATTATAACCACTCAGCAAGGCTCATAATATTATTAATGATGTGGACAGCTATTTGGAATAATCAGGTAGTGATCTGAAACCTAGCTGCTCATTATTTACTAATGAAAGTCATAGGTCCTAAAAACAGAGGGACAGGGGCACATTTGCAAAAGACCTCATTTCCTTCTCTACCTCCACAGAGCCAGACTAAATTAATAGGTGCCCCAAAACTGAATTCCTCCTCAAGTGGCTGGTATACTGAGAAGGGATGCGTTTGACTCAGAGGGTCACTTCGGTGATGCTGGTGGACATGACAACCAGCACCCAATAACTAACGGGGGATCCCACCTATTCCTGGTCAGGGAAGGTCTCCCCAGGTATAATATAAACTGATTTTGAGATGAAACAATACAATTATTCAATAGAAAGCACAAAATTCAGTCCAAGAGCAGGATCTGAAAAGCACAGATGAAAACATTAAGAATTCAAATGATGACATTAAAAACGGAGGCTCCTAAATTTTACACCAACAGTTGAGATGTCCAACATTGACACTGGCAGCCCCAGGGTGTTGGGGGCCTGACGAGGACTGTGAAACCCTATCTGGGATGTTGTAAAAGGGATCTCTCCAAGTGCGGTGCTCCAACCTTGGCATGCAAACTACTCTGTGTTTGTTAAAAATGCAGCCTCCTGGGGTTCAGCCAGGATTACGGATTCGGAATGTCTAAAACAGGGCCTGGGAATCTGCTGGTGATTCTTCACACACTAAGGTTTGAGAACTGCTGGGTTAGTTAGTGCCTTGGGTCAGTAGCACGATTTCATGCTGGCTAAGATTCCGTCCGCCCTGACAATCTCTAATTCTTATGAAATGATCCAGGATACATCATTTCTGTCATCCTTTCTGACACACTTATTTTTAAAAAGCCACCTTCCTTGCATCCATTAATCCCCAGATTAACCTTTCTCTGCATCTGGCCTGACCCCCGCTGCAAAACCTGCACACAGACCATATATGATAAGCGTCTCTTCAATAACACAGGTAAGCAACACGCATTCCTCCTGACCCAAATGTTCCGTCTCCGCCCTGCCCGGCCTTGCTTGTTTTTAAGAAACAGGAGTGTGATGGGAGAGGAAGAGGGTCCTGGTCTTCACACACACACCTGTCTTCTGGTGTCAGAATGCGAATGGGCACAAGAGGAGGTCATAGAGGACAGTGGGGCTGGGAGCGGGCTGTGCCCGAGGAGGGTGGCGGCCTGGGCGGCTGGCTACAGGTGCAGCTGGTGCCACATGGCGATCTGCCGGCGCGGGTTCTTCAGCATCTCCTCCCAGTGGCTGCGCTCGGAGCCCGAGGCGTGCAAGCCCAGGCTGCAGCGCCCAAGCGGGCAGCTCTGCCCCTCGGCGCCCTGGCGCAGCACGTCCAGCTCCACACTGGAGGCCCGCAGCAGGTCGTCCGGCAGCTCAAACATGATCATCTCATTCCACACGGGGTTGACCTTGTGCCTGGCGCGCTTCGTCTGCTTCTTCTTCAGCTTCCGAGCCTGGTGCTTCAAGGTCACCTTGACAGAGACATCTGGGGAGAGACGGGGGCGCAGAGACAGAGAGAAGGGCCGAGAGTGAGCTTCTGGGGCACGGTGGGGCCCGGGACGATATTGCCTCTTGGGGATGGAGAGACGGGGTCTCTGGCTCAAGATCTGCACTGAGGCACCCTCTCTACCACCCCTTCCCCACCTCATGGGCCATGTATTCATTCAACAGCTATAAAATGCCCACCATACGGCAGATGCTGATCTAGACATGGGGATACGGCAAAAGCTCCTGCCTCAAGTGTGGAGAACAGACCATAGCACAATATATATGGCTGGTCATCAGGTGGCCCATGACTGGGTCACGCTAAGGTACAGCCAGGAAGGTGTGTCATGAGCCCTTCTGAGTGCCTTCGTGTCCCACATCAAACCAGGCCCAGGATGATGGCTCAGACGTCCTGCAGCTTGATTTTTTTTTTTTTTTCTCTTTTGTGGTGTGCGGGCCTCTCACTGTTGCAGCATCTCCCGTTGCGGAGCACAGGCTCCGGACGCGCAGGCTCAGCGGCCACGGCTCACGGGCCCAGCCGCTCCACGGCATGTGGGATCTTCCCGGACCGGGGCACGAACCCGCGTCCCCTGCATCGGCAGGCGGACTCTCAACCACTGTGCCACCAGGGAAGCCCCTGCAGCTTGATTTTAAACTCAGACCAGAAACACTAAGCCACCCCTATGTCTTCATCCCCTTGGTTCTCCGTCCAGGCGTTTTTGTCTATTCCTAAGATAGTAGGTCTCCTGCTGATTGGTTGAGTTCTTCTCATCTGTTCTTTTGCAAGTTTTACTTGAGGATCCCGACCTCATGCGGAGGATGAGGGCAGCCTGCCTTGACCCCCCCAGTAGAGCTCTCCACCCCAGGAGACTGGCCAACAGGTCACTAGACAAGCTTTCTCGTCACATCCTGAGGCTCAGGACTCAGACTGTGTTTTCATTAGTCAGGGTTTCCGAAGCCAGTGTGAGAATAATTGTTACTCTGTATTTATTGCTATAATTATCACCCCCAGGTGGTTAGTTTGTTATTTCAACAGAGATATTTGAGAGATAAAGTGTTGAGCTGTAATTGTCCTGACAGGAGCTATAAAAATTTTTAAAAAAACGGAGGAGGAGGCAAAGTATTGTCTGGAGGGGATGAGGAAATTGCAATGAATTCTGACTTTTGGCGCAGGAATCTGTCAGCCAGACCAACTCTTCTGATTTCATTCGCCAAAAATCTCTTGCTCAAAGGTTCTGAATGCAGAGGCAATTCTTTATTTGTTTGCTGCTATAAATATCTATTTATTTATATCCTGCTCTGAGCACTTGGCTCTGGGTCCAGGTATCATAGGGCTGACCAATGTTGCTTTTCTGCTCTGACAAGAGAGGCTGTTTGGTCCTTAAGACTTGGGGCCTGTGCTGGGGTATCCAGAAGGAGAAGCCAAGGCTTCGAGTGCTGAGGAGATGTTTATTTGGGTATATGCATAGACGCTGCCTTAGCCTGTGCACCCACACGCCGTCTGCTGTCACCCACACTCAGCTGGTGTGGGGATGGCAGGCTGGCAAAGGCTGGGAACAGAGGGGAGCCTAGGGTGGGTGTGGGGAGTAGAGTGGTGGCTAGCTGAAACTGGGGAAGGAGAACCCTGGCTTCCCGACACCTGCCTGGAAGGTGGGTCCAGCCAGGTCTGGTTGATGAGGGCTGGCCTAAGATTTCCGTACAGCCCAGACACTCCACTCCCTGGCTACAGTCTGATCCTTCGCTTCCTATGACCCATGGGTAAGGCTGATTCTTCTCGTGATGGATCTGAAACGTAGGGAGCCCCAGGTAGCTCATTCCTGGGCCCCAGTGGGTGGGATTGGCCCAGGAGTGAATGCGTGTGAATTTAGAGAAGTGAGTATGTCCTTCCAAATTGGTTTGTATGTTTGGGGTGGAGGACACAGCTGAGGCTGACTCCACAGACGCACTCATGTTCCACATCCCTGCTCACCTGTGCCCACTGCCCCAGGTGCC